TCTGGCGGGTGTTTAGGGTATGAGGTCACCTTCAATATTTCATATTGCAGGGGAACTATAGATCCCTCTGTCCGTCCCGTCCAGAGGTTGTCAAACTGGAAATCTAACGAGCATTCATGCTCCTTTAAAGACCGATGTCCTATGATCATTTCCGCTTTCAACTCAGGCACCACCAGGGTTTTGACCTCATCGTCGATTGACCCTAGCTCCAAGTTAGCCGTCACCCATCCCTCGACTCCCACTTGCCTTCCATCCGCTGTTTCTAGTGTCCCTTTGTATGGCCGTAACGGTGGGGCTGTAGTCAAATTATGGTACACCTCGCTTCGTATTAGGTTGATTGTAGCTCCCGTATCCACTAGTGCCTTTACCGGTAGCCCGCCCAAAATCGCTTCCGCTATTAGCCCGAATGGTGCTTCAGGCACTCGGCAAACACTCACGAATTCCAAGGAACTCTCTGTCTGACACTGGATATTCGTGAGTTGTTTAGGTTCTTCGGGTCGACTGGGGGTCGTTTGGTGGAATAAAGTCTGAACCTGCATTGTTCCTCGAAAGCCTTCGCCTCTCATTTGCACCTGAGGGCTCGTCGTGGGGTCCAAGCGGTACATAGAGGGGTTGGAAGTGGGGGATGGGTGATTTACTCGCTGTTGATTCTTTATCTCGGCCGGGACAAAACCTCCCTGATGCATATTTAATGCCCCGGCCCTTGGTAGTTGAAATGATCCGAATTATTCTGGGGGCAACCCTTCGCAAAATGACCCGGCTGGCCGCAGCCAAAACAGTTCCCACGGGGTATCTGGTTTGTCATTCCGTAACGACCTCCAAGGCCAGGAGATAAATTCGATCTATTCTCGCCGGGTTGGGGTTCGTATAGTTGTCGGGGTCGTTGGGAAGGTTCCGACCGCGGTAAGTTTTCCGGGTGGGGGACGGGGATGATAGAATTAACAAACCTACCCATCATGGCCGTCATGTTCTGCATCTGAGCTAACAGATCATTCTGGACACTCAACAGTTGGTCGATGCGGGGGTCATTGCTCGCCTGCTGACGTCCCTGACTAGCTCCCACGGGTTGGTTTCGAGGGATCTGTCCGTCTACACTCCGACCAGCCTCAGCACCCGGCTCTGGGACATTTTCGGCAACCCTCGCAAGGTGCATCTTTCTCCGGTTCCGGGCCCTGGACGTTTTTATTCACAAGGTCCAAGGCTTGGACGCGGGCAACTGCTTGCGCTAGGCTTCCTAGATCTTCTCGCAGAAGTAGGTCTTGAAGATCCACGTCAAATAGGCCGTCTTTGAACTGTTCTCGGTCCATATCGTCTCGAGCTTGAGCTCCCACATTTCCATTAGCAACATCTCCAAGTGATCGGATTCGCCGAGAGAATTCGCTCAAGCCCTCCTTGTCTCCTTGCATCAGACTTTTGAACTCCGCCCTAGCCGCTGCTTGAGTTTGGAAGGGCATCATACGCTGGTCTAGTTCGGCCAGCATCCGTGCGAGTGTTGGCGCTGGGAAACCATCTTGCTCCTCTCTGAAGTGGGCTGGCATGCTGGTAAATTCATCCAGAGCCCATCCTGTCAGACCTGTTCATCTTCCCATCTGTTAGCATCCGCAACCCAGGCGAAATGCTTCCTCCAGTCGGCCCAGTTCTGATAGCTACTGGAGGGAAACCGATCGGGGCGAATGGTGCCGAAGCCAAAAACTCCTTGCTGCCTGTGCAAAGCATTCGCTGCCGCCACAGCAGCCTCTGCCAATGCAGCTCTATCGTCGTCGTTCATCATCGTGTTTGCTCACGGGATGGTTGTTCGTTCGTTTGCAACTTCAGTCTAGGACAAAGCCCACCCAGGAGCGCCAATGTCGTCTTTAGGGTTTCCACACACGGTCTTGCGAAGCTATCCCTTTTACCGTGCTAAAGCAGGGGGCACTAAGGCTCGGTATTAACGACAATCCCGAAAGGGTTATGTTAGTGGTGAGTTGACCTCTACTGTATTCTATTGCTCCCCCTTGGTCAGTGAGTCTCTTGCTCGCTATATCTCGCTTGAAGTCGCGTACAACGAATTCCTTTTTTTGCAAATGAATTCAATATATATAAGTCCGAATACAAAGAGCCTACTAGCTCGGCCAGAGTATAATTTTTAATATACAACAGAATGGTTTGCGATCTGTACAGGCTTAACAATTTCTTCTGCGTACTCGGTCAGTACACGCGTCGACTAAGCTCTCTGACTTTTGCTAGCTTCTAGTCTAACTAATATTCCTCAAGGCACTTCGAATTGCGTTCTTACTTCACTCGCTGTGAAACAATTAACTGATGAGTTCAGATAGCGACCACAACTGGGACCTACTGAATCTTACCTTCGTTAACTCGTTCTCCCTTCAAAGTCCGCTCTCAAACCTCCACTTTGTATCTCTATTTGCGCTCCGTTTTTGTTAAAGTCACGCCATTCCCTATCAGTCCTAACATCCGCCTAAATCACCCGTACGCACATGTTTTAAGACTATATCCCTCCTCCTGTCAACTCTGCCACGTGCCAACTTCGGTTTCTTTTATCAATCTTTTCACACTTATTAGATACCCGATATGCGTTAGCTGTCACAATTTGATCAAGCAAATAAATGCCATACGATTCTAATCAACCAATTCCTGAACTCTGTGAACTTCAGCTCTCGAGTTCAACTAACCTCTTAACCATGCTCTGTTTACCCAGTTATCTTCCCAAGGTCTTTATTTTAATTATCACGTTAATGTTCTGACCTCCCAATGGTAGGGGTAGACCCTTTTTATGGGTAGCTAATTCATTTCAGGCATCTAAAATTTCTATCTGTACTCTATTCAAATCCCGACCTTCTAGCTGTCAGGGGAATGTAGTTCGTCTATTAGGTGTCAAATCGAACCAGAAAGTAACCTCCGGGAAGCCAAGTAAAATCCCCGTCCATTCATACTATTTAGGAAACATAACTCTCATGCCGCTGTCTCATTACTTCCAATTTCCTCTGGGACTACTTTTCTTTTACCCTGATTGATATTCTATTAATAGCGCATTCACTAAGTTAAGTTGAACCCAATGTTTGCCAAGTTCACTTTAAACTAAATCCTCTACTCCGAGGATGCAATGTAAAAGCTATATCTCTATCAGCTTCTGCTCTAGTTCCACATAAATAAGTTTTCCTCCCAATTTTTAGCAAGGTGACCCATCCTCATTTCCAGGGGTTGGGCTGGGAATTGCGCCACTTTCCGGTTTTAATATTGGGGCTTTCCATGCAAGTTTGGGGACAAAACGCCCACAGGTCAACTTAAGGTCACTCAGAGGTCAACCGGGGTCAAACTTCTATATTCAGGTTTAGAATCCCATAGGGGTCCTACTTACCAAGTTTCATCCATATCCCGTTAATATTTCCAAAGTTATCCCATTTCTAGGGTCCATTATCACTTTTCCCGGTGAAAAGTTATTAACACCGGAAAGAATCACCGGAGGGTTTTCAATCATGAGGAGTCTTTTTTCCGGGGGTGAGTTGTAGTATCTGATGCCACCATAAATTCGATATGCCCTCGTTCATTATTTTGCGTAAATTGCCTACTTCCGGTCTAAGGGAGTTTTTTTCCAAGTGCTAATAACTTCCGGACCAACCGCCGGAATTGGTTCAAATTATAATACAAGATGTATCTTGCCACTACCTATCATCCCTCCAACATTCAGCCACCTGCCATCATTGGAGGCCGAGAAACGGCTTCCGGAAGTTAGAGGTGGGTTTGTTTACTTTGGGCATAAAATCGGAAGTGGGGGTCTGAGGGGTCTGGATTTCCAATCTTAAGCTCCCCTTAACTAGGCCTACAACATACTAAAATTTGAGCCCACTACTGCCGCTAGTTTCCGAGTTCTGATAGAGCCATTTACACTTCCGGGAACCGTTATCACTTGGGGCCGGGGGATCCGAGGGTTGTGGATTTTTGCATGTCCGGGTCAAATCATCTCTAGTATCCGTCCTATGAGTTTCATAAACCTAGCCACTGTAGTTCCCATTTGGGGGGGGGGGTTTGCAGTTTTTACTCCCTCCACATTTTCTGCCATAGGAGGGACTATATCTTCGAAGATTGGACTATTTTGAACTTTACCCTTTGTTTGATGTACTACTTAACTTGATGACGAACCAACCTTACGCTCAGGTTACTATAGCATGTAATACAGTAGAATCACCAATTATGCTATTATCATTCGTCAAATTTATCCTTTGTTTGCTGTACTACTTAACTTGATGACGAACCAACCTTACGCTCAGGTTACTATAGCATGTAATACACTAGAATCACCAATTCTACTATTACCATTCGTCAAATATAAAACTAAATTTCTAGTTAAGGTAATGAATTCTCAATTTTCTCGAAAAACTTTGAAGACAATTATCATTGTGATGATCAGTATCGAAAAAATCTTGAACGTATTGTATACAACGATATACTGTTGGTTCCCTCTTTATTTTTTGGCTTAACGTCTCTGCGCGTTAAATGAAAACTAGTTTGATTAAATAAGTGAATTTCAAATCTTGAATGAGAAAAGATTGTTCTGACCACTGAATTGTTCCGACGTTTCCCTTTTTTTCTCACATTTCCCCCCCCCCCCCCATTGCACTTAGATGTTTCAAGGTTGTGCTGTGTATCATAAAAGCGATTATTCCAAGTTTGAAAGTTCAGAGCGGATTAAAAAACGTCTCTAGAGAACATATACCATTTTTTTCACCAGAGTAACCATTTGATGTGCAAGTAGCACAGCGCGTTCCAGATACTCTGGACCAACGCTGGATCAAATATTTTGAAATAGGCCAAGTGAAAATTTTCAAAAAATGATTATATTGTACTCACTGGACGCCTCACAATCTCCCCTCCCCTCCCCCTGGGCAAAAACCCCCCTTACGAAATTGTTTCAGGCTATAGAGGATTAAAGCAACTTCTGAGCATATGCGAATATATAATAGTTGAAGAGATATCCACCTAAAAATCGTACCCCCCCCCCCCACCACCCTGTGCCTACCATAGTTCCTTCACACTCTTTGTTGTGTCCGGAACAAAATCATTTTAAAGACCCTTCATTCAACAATTACTACATTTTCAAGTGGTAGCCCATTAAGTAATGATGAGTGATATATCATCTTTTGAATAATAGTTCATTGTTGATTGCAGAATAATTAGAAGCAAGATTTACATTCAAAATAGATTCGGAGTTGATATCTGAGACTCATGCTCTCACTGAGGGCATGTCGGTGATTGTATTGCGCCGTCGTTGAGAATTTCTGAAACACATTTTTTTCATGAGATCCTTGGAAGAAACAAAAGAAATAGTGACAAGATTTTTGAAAATTTTCAAATTGGAAAAGTCGTAGAGCAGCTAAATATGTAATAAACAAAGATAGCCGGATACTGAGCAAGTAGCACATAATGTCATCGTGGAATAGGCAAACTGGAAAAATGTTTTTTGTAGAAAAATGAATTTAAAAACTAAAAAAAAAAATCAAAAACGCTTTCAATTAATTTAAAAAAATTGTTCAATTTTTTGAATTTTGAAAAAAAATTGACAGTTTTGATTCCCAAAATAGAGCTACAAGTTCCAAATTGAGTGGTTTTCAAAATAGTATTTTTTATTGATTTAAAGAAGCAAAAAATCTGTGCGAAATCACTTGCACAGTTTGTTTACAAAATTCAATGTTTTTTTTTTCTACCTAAATGTAGCGTCAAAATTTAAATAGTACAGGTCTAGTCTAGTCGGCGAAACGAACATCTATTGTGTCAAGTTGAATCGAACATCTATTGTGTCTAGTCGGCGAAAAATGAGACAAACTAGATGTTCGATTCAACTTGGAATGTTTTTTTTTCTACCTAAAGGGAACTTCAAAGTTTAAATAGTACAATATGTGTCTAGTCGGCGAAAAATGAGACAAACTAGATGTTCGATTCAACTTGGAATGATTTTGAACGTATAGTAAATTTTGATCGAGTAATTCATAATTGCGTGTTGAGCAGGGGCGGATTTAGGGGGTGGAGGACGGCACCCCTCCCTCAGGGGTTCGACCCCCTGCCAACCCAAAGGGTCCTTTCTTTGATACTTTTAAGAAATCGAGTTTTGGCCGACCAACCTTAAAATTTTTCTAAAGGCGCCTTCGGCGCCAATATATACTAATTTTGAGGGGGCAGCTCGCGTCGAAAAAACACAATTTTTCGGTCAAAGTTTTCCAAAAAGTGCCTAAAAACGCCTTTTTTTTTTCAAAATTGTGAGATTATCAATAAATGGTGCGGCAGTTTTCATGCCAAAATTATTTTAAAAAAAAAAACATTTTAAATGGATAAAAAAATAACTGGCTTCAACATCTTAAATGTAATTTGTGTCAACTGGCTTATCTATGGATTCAAAATTTGACTGCATCGAAAATGACGGCATTGAAAACAACTTGGCGTTATCGTTGACTGGCGGTATTATAAGTAATGGGTAGCAAAAAAATTTTGAAAGGCAAAATTAATTATAAATAGCTCAGTTTCTCGGGCATAAATTTTGTCTCAATTTCAGTTGAAAAATTAAAAATTGCATGCATAATTCGTTCGGAGTTGACAAATTTCCTTTTTTAAATTAATTTTGTCTGCTTAAATTTTTTGCAACTCTCAATAACTCCACTTACTCATGTAGAGATCGGCGTGTTCTTGTGCTCCCGGGTATCCCATTTCCAGTCGCTTGTCCTTCATCATCTGCAGCTGGTAGAAGTTCTGTCTCTCCCAGTCCAGCTGACAGGTCCCGTCTTCCGGCAAGTTCACCCCATACATCAAAGCAGAGTTCCACGCTTTCCTGTTTAGCATGTAAACATTGCGCTCTATACAAAAAATAGCCATTTGCAGTTTTCCAGTGATTTCGCACTCAAAATTAAAAACCAAAATTTTCTTGGTTACACAATTCGCCTAAAAAACGTACTTTTTAAATTTGACGAAACAATTTTTTAGACTCTCAGAGCAAAAACAGTATTTCATAAAGTTTGGTTGAACAAAATTCACGTTTAAAAAAATAAAAAGATTCCATTAGTTTGACAGCTAAGGCATACGAGTTCAAAATTTTGTAAATATCATACACCAAATTATTAAGCAGACTTTAGAACTCTGGAGGTGTCGGCTCATTTATTTTTGTATGATAACTTAAGCGTTATTTTCAAGTGAGCGTTATTTAAAAGTGAGTTTCAGACTACAAACAGAAAACTATCAATTTTACTGAGTGTAAGCCAAAAACCAATTGCAACACATTTGCTTTCTTTATATTTTGAGCGAAAAAAAGTATGAATACGAAAACTGGATAAAAGAGTTGGGGCATTTTGGGCCTGATCGTGCCAATAAACTTAATACTTCAGATTCAGGAGGAAAAAGTTTGCGGAAAGTTTGCCTGGAAAAAATAAGTTAAAAAGATCATTAACTGACAAAAAAAATCAATTATAATGGATTATAATTTCAGCTATTCTGCAAAAAACACAGTAAATTCAAATTTAATTTAAGTTTTAGCTATTGACAGGGGCCGATCTAGGATTTTCTCGAGGGTGGGGGTGGTGGAATTTTCAAAAAACTTTCAAATTTTTGTCGACCTTTTTTAGTTTGAAAAAATTTTGAAAAAACAGGCCAAAAAAGCAATTTTAGGCGCTTTTTGAAAAAATTTGACCAAAAAATTTGCGTTTTTTTGGCGCGCGCTCCCCCTTCAAAGTTGATATATTGGGTTGGCAAGGGGTCGAATCCCTGAAGAGCCCCCCCCCCCCCCCCCGCCGAATCCGAAAAAAATTTCCAAAAAATCATCGATTATAATCGATTATAATGATTTTTTGTTTCGAAAAATAGTAACATTATAATCCATTTTTAATCGATTATAATTAATCCTTTTTGAAATTTATTATACAGACTGACAATGAAAATCCTCTATAATCTATTATTTTCTCTTTTTACTGAGCGCGGTGTTGATTGTACAGCAATTTTATCTCGGCTCGAACTTTAATTTAATCGGTTAAAAAAATTGTGTTTTGCAAACTGATAGACTTTTTGAAAAATATGTGACTCGTTGAAGTGAGTGAAACAATAATTTTCGACAGTGAAAATTAATTTTTCAAGCAATAGTTAACCTCTTCGTAGAAAAGGACTTTGCCAATTAATTGGGCAAAAGACTGTTCAAAAAAGAAGAGTGGTACTGACGCATGCAAACAACCCAGTTGGGGAAGGCACATGTGTAGTCATCCAGGCCATGAACATGATTCCAGTTGAAGTCCTTCTCGCCGTAGTCCTTCCTACACACACAAGCCTCTCCTCCTCTCGAACCCACAACTAAACATAATCAAACGCGCACTCATGTGAAAAGCTTATCAATTGAGAGGAAGAAAGTTTCGAGTTTGTGAAACCATTTTATTTCCTTAAGACTTTCTTTGATGACTTTCATTGATGACTTTTTCATGAAACTGGATAAAATATGAAAACATTTGATCAAAAAGCATTTTTTTCAACGGAAACCTAAAAGTTGAAGCCCACTCCCGAAATAAAGTCAAGCTCTGCTTTTTTCGCAATTTGTAATTTTTATTAGTGAATATCATTTTCTATTACGACGCAATTTCGGTTTTATAACTATCATCAAAACTGAATTCCACATCTCTGAACTCCACAAATAAAAAGCTGCAGTTTTACCTAAGTATGAAGTTGTAATGGGAATTCAACTAAATATCCTTCTCAAAACTCCGACAAATCTTTCAGTGTCCGTAGGTGGAGTTGAGTGATAGGAAAAATTCCATTGCCTATAATTCTTACGCTGATGCTGAGCTAATTTGTATCTAGATTCCCTCGTACACCGTAATTTTGATTTTATAACGATTTCTAAAACTAACAGAACTTGGCTCAAAATATGTGGGTTCCAGGGACAAAGACCATGAAATCCAGACCAACATCAAAGTAACCGTGCTTGGCGCCGTAATGTGTTTCCTGATTCAATTTGAACAAAAAATTTTTGAGCCTTTATATAGACCATAAATAATCAGTTTTCTAGTCTTAAAAAATATCTTGACCTCAAAAATTGAGTGCAGATGGGCAAATATTTCACTAGCTTGATTTTTGTAATTGGGACTAGTTGCTTAGGATTTTTGTACATTTTGGATTTGTTGCGTTTTCTAGAGCATTTTCTAGATGATAATTGAGTCAGAAATGACAAAATTTGACTTTCGCCAAAAAAACTATAAATCAGCCTTCCGCTTTATCATATAGTTCGGTTACTAGTTAATCAAAATTTAATGAAATGATGGAAATGATGGAAATTTTTTTGATCAGCTGAAAAATTAAACTCGGAAACGTGGTCAGCTAACGTGGTCAACCTTTTAATCTGGTTGACAAATAATTTTACGATAGAAGTTTTGGCTGATTAACCAATATATTTTTCTGAGGGTACCATAGGCGCTAGTATATACACAAAATAATTTTGGTGAAGGCTGAGCTCCTATATGGTATTTTTGGTAGGAAAAATCCAAAAAGAGATCAAAATTAGTACTATTTTCGAAAAAATGTCTGCAACCCAGAATATTTAGAAACAAGGAAGATTTCGGAATTTCTAAATTTATAGCCTAAACAAGGATTGCAGGTTACTGTGCAAGTAGCACAGAATGTGAGGACCATAGTCCTTAAGTTATACTAAAAATTTTTTTTTTCAAGTTAGTGAAAAATTAGTGAAATTAGTGAAGTGTTTTTTTCTGCGTATCGTTTTCACGGCTTAAATTAAGCATAAATAAGCTATTGTAAGCCTAGACGTTCACCTTTTTAGCTGGAACAAAAATCAAAAATTTCATAGTGGGTTTTCTCGACACTGAGAAAATTTTTGGCAACTTTTTATAATCGTTCGAGTCACGACTGAAAGGACTTTAATATGATATATCAATGAACCCAGTCCGATGACTATTTGTGTTAACTAACTGAACACAAAAAACTGTGTTACCTAGCGTGGAAAATAAAAAAAGTTTTACAAAATACAAAAAAATTAATACACACCCGAGTACAACGTTCCTCTCCATTTTCCAAATAGTCGGAACAAGAAAGTCGACAATAAACCTAACATCTTTGTTATTATTTCTGCAATGCTGTTTTTTGCAAATTGAACAAAATGAACTTGATGTTTCAAACTCATTTCAGACTATTTCATGTTTTTTTATTTGGTGATATTAAAAAAAGCTTTTCATAGCAGTGCTAGCAAAATTAATAGAGAGTAATGATTCGACTTCCGAAAAAATACGAATTGTTAACTTTCATCTTTTCACATCTATCCTTCAACGCATGAGCGAACTTCAACTATTCGAGTACAGTAGTTCAAGTTATGAAAAAAAACATATATATGTCAGTTGTTCTGCTATTTTTTTTTACTGAGCTTAAGTTAATGCAGAATAATATGTTAAGAACTTTTCACATAAGTTAATTTTGATATAATGCTGAACAAGTATGTAGTTTTTATAAGGAAAAAGCACTGGTTCTAAGCAACAAGCTTGTTTTTAGATAACGCTGATTATTCTGTTAAGATTTGTACAATACTTTTGTTTCGAAATTCGAAGGTTATCACAATAAAAAGATCACAGGAAAGATTTTTCTCCACGGGCGGTCAGAAAATTCATGGCTTCATCGTGCAGTGAGCAGTCTTAAATTGTTCATTTTTTTTCTTTCAAAAATTAGTTTTTCTTCTAAATTCATCACCCAGCACGCTATTTGAAATTCAAAGTAATTTTATTTATCAAACATTCATGTATTAATTGAAATATCTTGCATTTTTCAACTCAATTTGTTTTGCAACAAATTGCGAATCGGATTGAATTTTCAATTAAACGTTAATTGCAGAAAGTATATTGTTCTTTGAAAAAAAATCAAACTTAAGCTCAAGACATCAATAGCTTTCACATGACACAACAAGTCTGCTCGTATCAGGGCAAAGCCCTGAATATTTCGACTACTCATAAACTGATCTCGAATCGTTTTTGGTGTATGAAGTATTGACTTTTTTAGGCTGATAATATAAATGTGTTAAAAGGAGTTGTTTATGGAATTAAAAAGAAAGACCAATTGGCTTACCTCAATTCAAATTTGGAACGAATATGATGTGGATAATTTGCCACGCATAAATAATTTGCGTATTAAAACAAAATTTTTCAAGTATTTTTAGGTGTAAGCAAACTTAAGTGCAAGCATACTCGCTTGGCAATCACAAAAATTCCGAGTCGATGCCCAAAGCAGTCAACTTTTCTAAAATTGGTCTGAATAATGAAAAAAATCACCCCGGGCATATAAATTCCTCATTTTCTTTGAAAATCGGGGAAAAAAATCTTGTCAGACATGACTAATTCAGAAGCCGAAAGGAGGTTTGGATAAGAAAAAAAATCACCAAGTTTAAATATTCAGTCGTCAATTTCTTCGAAAATTGAAAAAATTAGGTGAAAAAAAAAGATACAAAAAAAGCAAAACTTCAAATTCTGTACTCGCTTAGGCGTAAATAGGACCGTTGTATAAAAACCAGCTGAATAAGAGGCAGGCTAATTAAAAAAAATAGCCAACAGACAGTTTAAAAAGTCAATGACCGGAGGTAAAATGAAAAAAAATCTTGACTTGTTTTTTGAAATATTTCAAGTTTCAGAGAAAACTTGATGGCCCTAGAGCCTTTGAAGTTCTAGAATAATTTTTCATGGGCACTTTTTTGATAAACTGTACCCAATTGGAGATAACTGGATCAAAAGGTAAGTTTTTTGTTTCCTCTGGGAACTCTGCAAATTAAAAGTCAGTTTCCAAATTATAGTCAAACACGTTTGCCTTCTTTTTAACAAAGGACTGAAGCGGGAAAAGTCAAAGCTTAGCCTAAAAATGTCTTACGATTTTTCTGGAAGAAAACACATCACGAAATATGTAAGAGTCCACCCTATGTTCATTGACTCTTAAAAACCGCTGAAAACACTGAGCCATTATGCAATAAAAAAAACTTGTTACTAAATCAAACTTGCACGAATTTCAATAAAAAATACATGACTTTTCAGTTGATTAAATCACTGCTCAGTTTTGCTTCGTCTGTTCTTCTGCTGGTTTACTCACAGTCAAATAGGCCTCAGAATGATAAGTCTGACTTACTTCGATCATCTGGCTGTTTAGGTTCGAACAAGCTCGGATCAATGGGGTCCCCTGAGTACATGTTCACGTAGGTGTTGGAGACATTGCCAAAGAAGCGTACGTAGCCAGTCCAAAAACCACTGTGCTCCAGGTACGCCGGGCTTGAACGGATATTGTTGTGGAACTTCACCCAGAAATGTTCCCGCAGCCTTTGCTAAAAACAGCAGAAAAAATGACCTCATATTAGAAAAAAAAGGAAACAAGGAAAGCCAACTAATCCAAGTTATAAACGGTTTTAAAAATCATGATTAGCGGCGTTGAACTGTTTAAAGTGGACGAAAACAACCCATTCTAGCTGGCTGTAGCTTAAGCAGCAATTCGCAGCCCAGAAAAAAACACGAAGAATGCAATGGATGATTGTAATCAAGGGCACAATAACGGTTTTCTTTTAAGATTTAAACAGCTCGTGTGTTGGTATTTAACTAACAAACCGTAAAAAAACTTATCAAAACACATTTAGTTTCGAGAAAAAATCCAATTTAGAGCTAATTTTTAGAATCTAAAGATGTACATGAATTGAACATATCCAATTTAATCAAGAATGTTCTATTTTGTTCTGATTTTAAGTTCCAAATTTTCAAGGCATTGTCGGATTATTTGAGCTCGAGGTGGTTTTTTTTCCTGAACAGTTTCGAAAATTTAACAAACAATTTTTGACAAATTTTTTATTATCTGAAACAGGGGCGGATCTAGGATTTTCTCGATTTCTCGAGGGGGAGGGGGGGGGGGGGGGGTGGATTTTCAAAAAAATTTTGTCGACCTTTTTTTAGGTCGACCAAATTGATTTCTCGAGCTCTCCCAAAGCACTGTTTTGTCCCTATTTTGGCCAAATTTTCTGCGCCGCAGGAAAAATTTTGAAAAAAATAGGCCAAAAAGGCGTTTTTAGAGACTTTTTGGAAAATTTTGACCAAAAAATTGCGTTTTTTCGGTGCGCGCTCCCCCCTCAAAATTAGTATATATTGGCACCGAAGGCGCATTTAGAAGGTTGGTCGGCCAAAACTGGATTTCTAAAAAGTACTTAAGGGTGGACCCTTTGGGTCGGCAGGGGGTCGAATCCCTGAGAAGAGGGGGGCATCCGCCCGCCCGTCCCCCCCTAAATCCGCCCCTGATCTGAAAGATACTAGTTCTTGAGCTGAAATTAAGAAAGATATGTTATCTGTGATGTCGAAGAATTGAAGAAACAATTGAAAAAGACTAAATAATTGATTTTTTCCGATTACTTTCTCAACTTTCGACGAAAAAGAGTTTTCATTGACTTTAAACCGCAATTGGAATGTTCAGGAATTTGCCCTGATGTCAGCAATTAGCACCCTTTTACTTTCCTGGCCTCATATAAGCACAATTTTTATGGTGTTAGGAGGGGTTTTACAAAGTTACCTTATCTACTGATTTTTCTTAACAAGATAGATTTTTCAGATTGGATGTCAGATCTGAAATAACAAAGAAACACAAAATTGCAGGTCTGAATTTGGTTCTGAGAAGTTTTTTCTTTTTTTAACAATATATGCACTGCGAGCAAACAACTGGATTTGCAATTTTAAAAAAATTTATTATAATTAGATAAAAAAGCAGTAACAAATAATTACACTAAATAAAAAAAAAGAGTTTGTTTTTTCAAATTTATTAAAACTATCTCTGGCCAAAATTTTCAAAAAATTTTAGCTGGCCTATAAAATTTTTGATTTTCAAACGTTACTCGTGCATTTTCTGATATTTGTCTCATGTTTAGGTAAAAGTAGTTCAGCAGTCTGCGATGACGAATTTTGCTAAGTAAATGCTTGTAGCTACAAAAATCAATAAGGTTTAAAAGTTCGTCGCTGGATTGCAGTGACTTACAATTACCAAATTATGCACCTATTTATTGCAAAGTGTGGCCCTGTAATGTAGAACATTTACAACGCACGGATAATTATGATGGCCAAGTATTTTTGTAATGGTCTAGTTAGTCCCCATGTCAATTTTTGTTACAGTTAGACAATGTGAACAGAGAAATTACATATGAAACCTAGCATGCGGGACAAAAGGAATAAGAGCCGAGGAGTCTTGTTCTTATTATCATCCTTGCAGGTGCTTGAGGCTCTGTTGCTAAATTTTTTCTGTTGAATTTTCAAGAGTATGACCATTACGAGGCCAAACTGTGAGTTTTGTGAGTTTTAAGCGGATTCCGCAATAGGGGCGCTCCTTTTGTTCCTTCATTTTTTTTATTGTTCCGACAATATTTTAACATGTTTAAAGATTTTTCTCTGGAATCCAGGAACATACAGACACTAAAGTGTGCGCCTATACAGTGCACAGTTTTGCCTCGTAATGACATATATATGTGCCTGGGGGATTTTTTCCGACAAATTGGGTCTTTTTAACTTGCAAGCGTTTTTTGGCGGACTTTTTTCAAGCAGTCCGAAAAACATGACTCGCTGAGCTCATCAAAAAAAAAATATTTCACTTGCAATTATTTTCGTGAAAATATTGGTGTTTGAAAAGTGTAAATTTGGCAAATTGGGATAAATGGTGCATTAAGTTATGGTGTAGAGACATTTGAACAAATTCAGTGTTTGAGAAAAAAACAAATTCAATTATTTTTTTTGGAAAGTGTTTCAAAGTATTCGACCAAAGTCTATTTCCGTTACCTTGAGTTAGAAGAAATTCTCCCTTTGAAATTGAAAAAACGCACGGTAAGATTGTATAAATTCTCAAAGAACACAACTTGAAATGTACACACCAAATATCTCAAGGGTGATGAACAAAAGTAATCAAAGACAAGTCAAGAAGTATATCAGCTGTATAAAACGAAAGAAAAATTTTAAAAATCTGAAAATAATTTTCATTTCGGGCCTGAGTTAACATCACCCCAAGCAGGTAAATTTGGATCTAAGTGTTAATTTTCAGCCAATCAGAATCGAGCGCTATACATGCAGCGCTTAGAAACTTTAACCCGAACTAAACGCTGGGTTGAAACACCTTAACTCGGGGGTGGGGTGAGGTGGGGGAGGGGGGTGTGGTAACTAACAATACCTCTGAGGTTTTATAGTGAAAACTGAAGTGGTTTCGAAAGAGTTTAATTAACCATAATGAAACCGTTTCTTTTCTGTTGTTAGTTTCTTACTGACTGTGTTCTTAGCCACAGGCCTGAGAGATTGACTCTCTTGGATTTGTAAAAGGTCACGTATTCTTTGACCTTGGTTTTTATAATAGAATTATATAATTTATAGATAACAATATGTATAGCACTATCAAGGTCAATATGTGATGACTATCTGATTACTGCGATAGCAGTGGCAGATGTAAGTAGCACTATCAAGGCCAATATATGAGGACTGCATAGTTACTGCAATGGCAGTAGCAGTTGCGGTACCACATACCCCCTCGATCAAGAAAATTTTTATACTATGTTATTAAAATTTTAAATAATAATGAATAGGAGTTTTAGAACTCAGTTTAAGAAGTTTTGGCTTTGTGTATTAGATAACTCATTTTCCATCTCTCTCTTCATGTTCCTCTTCCAACTGTAACGGGATTCTCCACTCGGCGTTCCATGAACGGGTTATGTCTAGAGCTTCGCTGCCAAACTTTCTCCTAAATAGATGTTTTTCCAGCAGACCAAATTTTGTCTCCACCGAATTAGAAGCACCAGGTTTAAAATTTGCAAGCTTGATTCTATATGCTTCGAGCGCGGCTTGGTTCAAGTCTAATAAGTTATTCTGGAACGAGATTGATTTCACCGAATGCTTAATCGGGTTTCCGTATCTGGATGGTCCCTTTTTCGATCTCCCGCTTTTCCGCACTGATGTTTCCTCAAGTTCGGATTCGTCAGAAAACCCCGGAGGATTCATCAATTCCTCGTCGTCTCCCGTATCCTCTCTCGAATGCAGTATCTCTGCCGCCGCGCGCTGAACTCCTCGTTCAAGTACTTGATCCGCTAATCGATTCCAGTCATTCGCCGATAAGTCCTTACTATTGAAAGTGTCGAGGATTGTTTCAGGAGATGTAGTGCGTGTAATTTCTTTCTTGTTCTTGATAGTGTTCGACGAACATGCGTGGTCTGGCGCCTTCGGTTCGTTTACTTCTGCTGCTAACGCAGCACTTTTATTCTGTAATATGACTTGTTGTGCGTCTTTCGTCGAGATTGGGCCCACTTTAGCCTTATTTGATTTCGAGAATGGTCCAGCCAAGTTTGGCTTCGCTCTTCGTACCGCCAAATTCAGTCCACCGCCTTGTAGGGTGTCTTTTGAAGTGATCACCGTTGGGCTATCCTGAAATTTTTCCTTCGCTGCACCTGGCTGTTCTAGCAATAAGTCTTCATCCGACTGACTCAATTCAGCCTCATCTTGTTCGTCTGATTGTCGCCTCGATTGCCTCTGTTGTTTTTTCTTAGGCTCTTCTCCCGATGGGGATCGTCTATTGTTGTTTTTCTCCTTATCGTGCACCGCAACCTTAACCTTTGCAATATCGCTTTTCCGGTAAATGGACCCTGCAGCCGTCTTAATTGTGGAAGGCGTTTCGGCCACGACCCTTCCCTTTAGAGGTTTCGTGAGGGCCTTACCGCTCTTCCTCCCCTCGTCTTTTCGTATCAGGATTGGTGACGACTGACGTTGCTGTGAAATGGCCTCCGGTTTATCTTCAACGAACCCCCGCTCCCACGAGTATAGCATTTCTTTGCGTAGCTCGGGATTAATGGTACTCGTCTCATCCAGAGTACGCTTTAGGTCGTTGGCCGAAGTATCACGTCGAGTCTGGTTCCATCTTGCATTGGCCTCCAGAAGCTCTTTTAGGGCCCGCGCTCTTTCTCGATCCTTTGCCGAGACGACTTGCTCTTTGAATAATGGACTCACATCTCGGCTGTTTTGTCCCTTCCGGACAATCTTTAAGTTGTCACGAGATTGGTCGATTCTCTTTTTGAGTTGCGAAGCCGTCAAGGCGGAGCGCTCCAGATGTTCCTTATCTAAACGATCAGAGTTTTGTAAGAACCTATCACTGAGAATTTTAAATTCTGTTTTTGGCAATCGCCCAAAGTGCGCTTCAAATGGCGACATTTGAATTGTCTTCTGTTTTATCCAACGAAGGTCGCGAAGTATCGTACTCAAGCACAATTTTATCGACGTTACATTTTCATCGAGTAACATTACTCCCAACCTTCTCTTGATGGTTTGTATAGTGCGTTCTACTAAGCCGCATCCGCGATGGTCGCCAACTGGACAGAATTTTTGTTCAATGTTATTGTCGGAGCAAAATTTTTTCATTGCTTTGCCCTTGAACCCGGAAAATTGATCCGTTCTAATTGATTCAGGTATTCCATGTATATCAATATATGAGCGAAGAAATTTTATTGACGACTTTCCCCCTGTTGATTTAGTGATTTTTACTGAAGGAAATTTAGAATACCTATCTATTGCTACCAACAGATAATTTTTTTTCCTTTGAAATCTTCAAGCGGGCCAGCATAGTCTAATTGAATTTCTTGACCTGGCTGCGTGAGCAGCGGCAGAGGCTTCGTAGCATTTTTTGGTATGATGTATTTTGCATTCTTACCATAGCGGGTGCAACTTCTGCATTCCTCTGCAAGGTTGACGATATCCTTGTGCATGTGCGGCCACCACAGGTACCTTGACACATCTAGCATCGCTTCCTGGCCTGGGTGACCGCGGTGAATTCTCTTTAGGACTGCCAAACGCAATTGTTCTGGGACAGCTAATCTGTTGTCAACCAGGATGCAGTCGTCCACAACTGAGAGTTGGTGCCAGAGAGGGTTGGTATATGGACCCATCAGCTCGAAGCTGTGTCGATCGTTCCTCTCAATGACCCGCCGCAGCCTGTCCATCCAGGCGTCTTCTGATATCAGCTCCGCTAATAGGCTTCTATCAAATAGTTTGTTTAGGTTGTCCAGACTGATATCTGTACGCACGTTATTTTGATCTGGTTTGCCTTTCCTGGAAGCGTGACATGTCTTTTCCTTTTTAATTAAGCTGACTTCTGGGCTTTCCGAAGGGCTCTCGGCTGTTAAGTCCACTTCGATAATTTGGGGGATTTCACTTTGGGTACTCAATTGTGATGACTGGTCACCTCTATTACAATCTGCCAAGGCTGTCTGTGCCTCTAATTCAAGTAGACTTGTCTGTGCCTCTAATTCAAGTAGACTTGTTGGATTGTCTGGTCTTTCTGCCCCTATGAGGTCCCAAAATGACATTAGGGTTGTTCCACTAGTTCCTGACGCCTTTCCAGATTGTATTTCTTTAAGTCCTCTAGGCTTTATCGTCTTTCTCACTGGTCTCCACTCAACTTGCGGTATATCTGAATCAGAATCGTCTGACTCCTGTCGACTGCATGCAGCGCCTCTCTTTACCATCCGTGTTCGAGAGAAGGTGGTTTCTGTTACTTGTTCCGTTAGTTGATCGTCCTCCCTCTGATTTCCGTTCTGTTTATTTTTCAACTTCTTTGATTTTCCTGTTTCACTTCTTTCCATTTTTGTCGATGACGCCGTTTCCTTAGGTTCTAATTGTTTGGAGTTTAATTTATCTTTGAGTTTTGAAATATCGACCAACTGTTTCTCACGAGCTATTCTGTCCAATGTGTTTTTGTGCTTCTCAACTGTTTGAAAACTTGAGTTTTGACCGTTTTCGTTCCGGTCGAGCTTTGTCCGGTTTTGAACAAACTGGTTGAACAAACTCCCAACACTTCCCAACCTGCCGAACGTAGATTGGCCTTTAACGCTCCTAATATTAGAATAGGTCGTTTATTATAATCCACAAACTGCGCGGACAGGTTCAGCTTTTCTGCCGGAATAAATTTTGAATTCGAAGGTCCTTCCAGAATCTGTTTCGTTGTTGCCCAATTCAGGAGTGATACTGGACTGCCAGTATCTATAGTCATATTCAAAATATGACTATCAATCTTAACCAAAGCTTTAAGTGCTTTAATTTGATGCGATTTGGGATTTCTGCGAATTTCGATCTTTTCAATTTTACCCGACTTCTCCGTCAATGCTCTATTCTGACTTCTTTCGTTATTGTACGCATTTTCCGAAATCCTTTTTGTGATGTACTTTTCTATGTCCATGATGGAAGTGCACTCTTCCTCTACTGACATGATTTCAAAATCATCACATGAATCGAATGTTTGTATAAGATTGCACTCTTCCCCCGAACTCGAATCTTCATTTGCAATTTCGTTAATTTGTTGAGACCTACACATTTTAGCGAAGTGATTAGGTTTGTTACAATTTTTACATGTTTTGCCCATTGCCGGACAATTTTTTAAATGATTCTCTACAAATGCTCTACCGCATCTCGTACATTGTTTTTGATCTCCTTTACCTTTTGGAGGTTTATTTTCGTACTGTTTTCTTCTGTTTTGATTTTGACGTCTAGGGTTATACCCTTTGTTTCCGATTGCCATAATTGGTTCTTGTTTAATCTTCATCTGTGTAGTTGTAAACAGTCCTGAGCTGTTTGTGTTTGAAGATTTTTGGAATGCTTGAGTTGTTTGTTTGCTATATTCAAACTTTAGTGCACGTTTTAACACTTCTTCTGGAGAGAATGTTTCGAAAGTCAATGTGTCTTGGAGGACAGCATTTTTCATTCTTGAGATGAATAAATCTCGTACCAATTCTTCTTCCAACGCTCCCAATTCAGCCTTTGCTGCTTGTGCAGTCAGTGCGGCATGAAAAGATTCCAACGTTTCATTTGATTCGTGGGATCGTGTGAACAGTTTGTATCTCTCATAGGTAATGCATTTCGTTTTCTCAAATGAGAGTTTTGCTAATCGAATTATATCGCGAAACCCTAGTTTGGATATTTCTGTGTGAGGGTTCTTTTGTATAAATTTTTTCTTCCCTTCTGCTCCTAAAGCGAGGAATAATCTCGATGTTAGCCGTTTGCCCACTTCGTGATAGAATACATTGTGTCCCACTCTAGGTCCTCTTAGTGTCCGTTCTTCATTTTCTTGAACCACTCTATCTCGAGCCAATCTGTTCCGAGCTTCTCTTTCTGCTGTCGCAATCTCATCCTCGTTTTGTGCTGGTGTTTCAGGAGTTGGTAAAGGTTCTTCTAATACCGGTTTGGGTTCTTGTAACATTATTTCTGGATCCACATTCTCTTTAACTGTAACAGCTAATAGGAACTGGTCAAGCCACGTTTCAAAACTCCAAGGTGGGTCTGAATTTGCGGATGCCCAAAATACTGGGATTCCTAGATCAGTCCTATTATCCTGAGCAGTGAAACCGGATCCTGCTGGCTGCGCCATGTGGTAACTAACAATACCTCTGAGGTTTTATAGTGAAAACTGAAGTGGTTTCGAAAGAGTTTAATTAACCATAATGAAACCGTTTCTTTTCTGATGTTAGTTTCTTACTGACTGTGTTCTTAGCCACAGGCCTGAGAGATTGACTCTCTTGGATTTGTAAAAGGTCACGTATTCTTTGACCTTGGTTTTTATAATAGAATTATATAATTTATAGATAACAATATGTATAGCACTATCAAGGTCAATATGTGATGACTATCTGATTACTGCGATAGCAGTGGCAGATGTAAGTAGCACTATCAAGGCCAATATATGAGGACTGCATAGTTACTGCAATGGCAGTAGCAGTTGCGGTACCACAGGGGGTATTAACTTGATCCTTATTTCGTGTCTCGGGTATACTCACATCATCGCCCACATTGTCGAAAGTGACTAGTGTTGCCCCTCCCTCGTACCCACACGCAGTTACTGCCTTGTCTTGACTCACCGGGCCAAGATCAATCAGCATCTTGTAACAATGGTCCAGACCTGACAAGTCAAACACAATCACTGGGTAATTCTCAAAACAATTTTCAGCCAATCAACGTCCTTTAAACTGTAAAGCCCTGCCTAACTTTCAAGGATCTTTTGTTCTAATTTTTGAATACTGAATTATGACTGGCTGACTGTTTTTCTGGCCCGAGGGAATCTCTTGTGAATCAATTGATGTTTTCGTTGAACGATTTTTTCATCTCGAGTAATCCAAGATCCTAAAGCTAAAAGGTCACGCGATTCTAAAACTTATTAAATTACTATACAATCTTGATTCTTGATTTGCACATGAATAGAGTGAGATTGATCCCTAAAAAAGAGGAGGAGGGGTGGGGTTGTGGGTTCTGGTCGAGTTGGAGAACTCAGTGTCTTATTATGAAATCGTATTGTTTTATCATTATATTCAATGGCATCCCTTTGAGGCTCAGACTTGCAAGCAGATAATAAGATGCACCAAAAAAGTACATAAACGAAATTTGACTGAATTATAGTTTTCAAAATATTTAAATAGCTAACTGGAGACATCTGAGGCTTAAGATAAGCTATATTCAATTGAACTGATGACAAAAATTGGTGCAGTTAGAGATTCTTTTGAGAGCGAAGGAGTTCCAAAAATGTTTGAATATTTTTGACAAAAAAAAACTTTCTTTTTGGCTCTTCGCACCCTCAAAATTAGTATATGTTTGCGCTGAAGGAATTTTGAGAACAGCTTTATGAGTGGTCGGCCTAATAATTTCGTAAATCTAAAATCTGTTTACCCCATGGATGGTCAGATTGTCAAACCTCAATCCTTCTCGAATTAATTAAAACCATTTATCCAAGGAAAAAAAGGACCAACACACGAGCTGTACAGCTCATCACGGCGAACCGCTGTTGTGCCCGTGTTTAAGAACTACATGCAGTTTTTTTGGTTATTTGTTTTGGGCTGGGTAATGTTGCTTCACCCTCAAGCATTGAGCACGAATCGTTATTGTACTTGAACTTCATACTCATACAATAATTATTCTTAAGAATTGTGATCTGACTAGCTACGTATGCAGAACTGTTCTATGTTCCAGTTGGTATAAATCGCTTGATCTTTAAGCGGATTCGGATCACTGGTTTTCTATGAAGTTTGATTAAGGCTCACGGCAGCTGTTTTATCTTAAATAGCCGCTGAAGTTACCAAAAATTATTGAATTTAGTTTGAAGTTCAGAGTGATTTTTTGATAGTGATCGGTAGATAAGCTGGAAAGAAATCGTATTGTTTCGACTTTTATAACGAAAGTAATGGAATATTTGTTCTCAGGGTGGTATTTTTTTCTTCAGACAAATTTTGACTTTTAAACTAGCCATTTTTGACGGAATTTTTTTATATAATTCAAAAGGTTTTGCTATCCTGAGCTCAAAGTTGAATAGTTATGTCAGTTATAACCGTTTCTTGTAAAGTTATGGGGGTTTAAAGATTGTGATTTTGGCCAATTTGGGACAATTAACCCGCGATATATTTCGCACTATTAACAGGTAAGCGAAGATTTAATCCGTCTTAGAGTTCGTTCCAAATTGGTTGAAGGAAGCTTAATTGCGATAATTGATTTGTTACTAGGAGCTAAATATATCACACTGTACTTTATATGGCGTGTGGCGTGATAACCTTGCCAAAAAATCTCAAATTAAAAAAAGGCAGCTGGAAGCTTTCAGGAAACTTTCAGGGCTTTGCCCTGATACAAGCTGTCTTGTTTGAAGAATTGAAACAGATTTTACAACTTTGCTTTTATTTGAGTTTGATTGATGTTTACTCAGACTGCTCTGCTTGAATTTACTCGAAGCCCAGACCCTGTAAAACTCTGAAAAAACTCGATAAATTTTTTCAAAAAACCATGAAAAGAAATTATTGTATTTTCTGCCTTTTTTGCTGAAGTTATCGCCCGTAAGCCCACAAGATCGTACAAATTCTTATATTTCGTATCGACAAACACATTTTAATGAAAAATAAGTTTTCGTCGAATCAATTTCGAATGATTTCTGAGTCGGATTGATTTGTTAAATTTGCTGCTCGCTAACAAAAAGTTCGAAATTTTGCGCGCATTATTTAATCGATTTGGCATTATTGGCTAGTTTAAAACAATAACTAAACTACTAGTATACACGTGACGCCCTGAATGTTCCTAATCTTTTTTAAAGTCTGTGTTAGATTTTAAAGAAGTCGAGTAATTTTGGCTAGTTTAAAACAATAACTAAACTACTAGTATACACGTGACGCCCTGAATGTTCCTAATCTTTTTTAAAGTCTGTGTTAGATTTTAAAGAAGTCGAGTAATTTTCAAATAAAATATTGTATACATTTTTTAGAGCTTTGAATTTGTAAAACTTATCGCCCCACACGCTATCAAAAAGACAAATTCGTATACTTAGCAGATAGTATTGTAACATTTATAAAATTACTTTGCCTCAATTCAAATAAGAACAATCTCTGCGCCGGGTTAAACCGCTGCTTAGGCGTTAAAAGTACAAAACATTTTGTGCGTTAATTCTAAGAAAGTTGCCAAACTTGCAGCTTTTAAACACTCATAAAATTTCAATCAATATATATATATATATATATATATATATATATATATATATAAAAGATTTCAAATAACATTTCACAAGAAACATATGTTTTTCAAGGTTGAATTCAAGAAATCCCTTGTTTTCAGAAGACAGAAACTTGTGTCGAGAGCAAAAAACAACCCGATCATAAATAGCCGGTCACTCTTTTCGAAAATCAGAACCTTTAGTTTGCAAAAAATTAAACGGTAGAAAAATCTTTATGTAATTTTCGTTTACGACAAGGTTGTTTATCAGTGTATAAATAGGTTTTGTGTTCGCTGATACCAAAAAAACTTTGTAAAGTGATGTTGGGGGCTTGTGTGCCGATCTGGTCTACCTGTGAGCAGTGCCGTCAATGAGAACAATTGAAGTTGGCGTATTTTTTTTGTAAACTGTGTTAATTGTGTAAACTGTGAGCTTATCATAGGATCCAACTATTTGAGAAATTGTGATCCGAGTTTCGGAGAAAGTGATGTACTATCTATGCTGAAAGTAGTTTTACCAATTCAATTTAAATTTGGTGATAAAGTTTAGTAATTTCCAGCAATGCCTGTTTTAGCGTGACAATCATTGAAGAAATGCTGAACACTAAAAAAATAATTTGACTGCAATCATTATTAGTAAATTCAAAGGGTTTCATGCAATGTCAATTTGGACATTTTTCACTGCCCGAAGCAGTTCTCCATGTGAAATTAATCCATCAAATTAGTTTTTTATCATGTTTGACCTCATTTTAATGCTGAAGAGGCAAGAATAGCTAGTTTTTGCGCTAAAGTTAAAATGACACTTTGTTTCGAAAAAGTGAAAAATGACAATACAGAACAAAAAAAGATAGTCAAGTTAGTTTTAATGTTTTGTGGTGTTTGTGCAGTTGAGCAAGGGAGTAAAAGCGACCAACGGAGCCGACGAAATTTCACAAGTCCATCATACTACAACTGAAAACGGTTTGTTATCGTATTGCAACCTTTATGATAGTACACCTTTGAAATCTATCCAATCATTACAAAACTTTTTGTGTTAAGTCAAAAGTTTTATTTCAGAGAGCTGTTCTCACTTATAGCTCCGACCACTGAAAGCTGACAGGAACTTTGTCTACTGGTGTTTGCTAATTTTTTTTGAAGTAATTTTGTCGCGAGTATTTTAGCCGAAATTCCGTGGAAAATGTCATGCGTTCTGGTTTGGAAATAATAATTACCCTCTACTCTCTCAAATCCGCGGAGGCATTCTGAAACAAAATGATGTGATTTCAGGGCTAGAACAGTTTGAAGTTTTCATTACAGAAAATTTATTTAAGATCAGCGACCTTGACAGAAGCAAAATAAGTCAAGGACAGTACTCCTCAAATAAATATTTGCACGTTTAATTTGTTCAGCAACAAAAATGATCAATTAATTAGCAATGGTTTTTAGGGCCCGGGTCATAAAAAGAACTGTGTGGGATTCGCATTTTAAAACATAACTAATGCGTATTGTATTGTTCATGTTTTTAAAGAGAAACTCCACACTTACCTTCAGTACATTGCGGCTTTGCTTCAACCTTCCCTTCTAACGAAGTCCTGAAAAAAACACAAGTTGAATTTGAAAAAGCCACTGAGGTTCAGACCACAGAGCAGTATTGGTGCCTACATGACAAACAAATTGCCTACCACCCCACCCTACCCACCCCTTAACAATTCTGGTCTCCATTTCCCCCTTTACCCCAGAAAACAAAACATGCGTTACTTCATTACAGCATCGATTTTCAGCCAATCGGCGAGATAAACTTTTTTTAAAAGTGTATTTGGTAGCGCCTTTCAAAATTTGCTAATTTAAGAGTTAAAACACAATTTTTAATAATTTTAGACCTTGCAACGCGCATTGTAGATCGCAGAAGATATTCTGAGGCAAGTACATGACAATTTTTGCAAAATGGGAAAATTCTAGATCAGAATCCCAAAAATCACAAAAGCCAAACTGAAAGTTTTTAAAAATAAAAAAATATGGATTTGGAACTTAACGTTTGGATATACTCACATAGTGCTTTCGTGGCAGCAAAAGCTCATCAGAACGACAGCTGACAAAATCTTTATCGGACCGAAACTCATCATAATTATTGACTTCTAAGCAATCAACAGTTTAAAATTTAAACTATCTGATTTTGAAGTATCTGCAACTTCTGGAAATTTGCTATCTAGTAACAAAAATCTCGACTCTTTTCCAACTTCCCATCCGCTTCGTAAAATGAAATATTAAGTGGTTCGAAAAATATGGATGCGGCATTTTGTTTGAAAGATTTTAAAGGTAAAATCTGACAATTTGTCCACGCTTATAAGTCTTGACATGAGTCGCTCTAGTCTGGGCATATAGTCGAGAAAATCTAGAAAGTTTGTGTCTAGACTTTCGCGACCCATGTTCAGACTTTCGAGACCAAATTATGGTATGTCCAGATTTTTTCGACCCACGGTGCGACGCATGTCCAGACTTTCCAGACTCAAACTATCGGCGCGATTATGCAATTTGGATCTGAATTCGGATGGGACATTGACCCGGGTACTCGTTTACTGCAATTTAGAACGCAAAAATCTCGAGTTTCTGAGATTGAGTTAGAAAAAAAAACCAAAAAGGGAAATGGAAAATAGTCAATTTGCAGTACAATGTGTTCAAAATACAAGTAAGCAACGTGTTCAAATGACAAAGTACCGTTGTCACTTTAATCTCAAGAGCACTTCAAAAGTGAGCCAGTTTGAAAAAAAAGTTGTATTTAGCTTTTTAAAAATGTTTTGACATTTTGTACATATATTCTGTTTTTCAGATCCTTGATGCCGCTCTCGAACTCCATACTTTTTTTGAATAGCACTTAACAAATAAATACCATCTACTACTAACTTCATTATGACCTGTTAGCTTGAAACTGTTAAAAATTAAGACTAGATGAATTAAAAAGCTCAACCAAAGAACCAATTGTTTTAGAGTTCTTGATAAAAAGTTTCTTGATAAAAAACTTGTAAGGCATGAAAAAATTGTAAAAAAAAACACGAAAGTGTTGAAATGAAAAAAAATATTTATGTAATTTTATACTTTGTTTGGATCTTTGCGAGTAAATTTTCCTCCACAAGCGGGCAAAAACTTACCTGCTGCGTACTTGAAACTTACTTTTGTAAACTTGAAAGGAAATTGCCAATTATTTTCAGGAGACAGTAAAACTGCCAATGAAAGAAATTAATACCTAAAATGATTCTCTTGCGCCTCGAACGAAGTTTCGATATTGTTTCACCCTTTTTAACTGTTGTAATGTATTCTGGGCGTTTTAGCAATTAAGGTGTGAACTCTTTTTAAAGTCAGGCCCGGGCCCGGTCTGGATGCTGACCCGCAATAAACCCGGGCCCGGTTCCAGCTCTGCTTATATTTCTATTGAAACAAGGAAACAAGAAAAAGAACATACTTGTGATTGCACGATTAGAAGATTGTACGAATTGCACAAAAAAAGAAGTGATTGCACGAATACATCGGACCTAAAATGATAAGGTTTGACAGACGGACGGTGTAATCAAATCAATAATGAAGAAAAATCTCATCTGGTGCAACAAACTAGTTTCCAAAGAAAGCAAAACTAGTTTATCAAATCTCAGTGAAGAGATAGTATAGTGTGCAGTATTGATAGTAGCCAATTAGTTAGTGTCATACACTGGGTAACACAATTGAATTTTTCTTCAAGTTGAAAATAATTTTTCTACAAGGTAAAACGGAGCAGTAATTTGTTTCTCCGCGCCATCGTTTGGGTGACTTTCGAATGGATCTTCTCATATATGATGACCTTGAAAACTAATTTGAACCACTGGGCTTCGAGATAATTATTTTCTCATATTGAAACAACAAAAATAGCCGCCACCCCCAATGTATTTCAGCCCCATTACCAAGCAATCAACAAACATCTCCCCCTAAAAAGGAGTCTCTTCATCACATATTTCAGTCAAAATCATTGGAATTTTCTAGATATAGAATTTATAATGGATCAATTGAGCAATCTCCCCTCCGTAATAACCAATTGAGCTATCTCCTCCCAAGCAAAAACGGTAAAACGCTACAAAAAGTCGTCAGAAAACGCACGTAGAGGGTTGATGTGTTCGTAGCACGCAATCAATTGACCGACTGAAGTTTATTTTACATTGGGTATCGAGAAAAATTTGAAAAATCAAAAAAAAAAAAAATTATAAAAATTTTTTTTTTGTAATTTTTTGTTTGGGCGACCATTGCCTCACCAAGGAAAGCAAAATACCAGGGTTGATGCACTGGCCGTGTATTTGAACAGAAAAAACTGTGCTCCGCGCAAGAGCTTTTTTCCTTTTAGGACAGAAACAAGTGGCCTCATTTTCCTCCATTTTTTAGTTTCTTTAAATCGTTTTACAATCTCTTGTAATTTTTGAGCTTTGATATTGTAAGTTTTAGCGTTCCGCATTCGTTGGAGAATCTGGTTTGTGATTTCAATTCATTCAAACTATTTTCAAGTGGTTATAAACATGTCTCAAATACCTTTTTGAGCTATCTCCCCCACCTCCCCACGTGAGAATGGGTGGGTGAGTGCTCAATTGATCCGTTATAATGATAAAAAGGAGGTAATAGGTGTTGATGTGACTAAATTGAAACTCCACGCGGGTTACGTTTCTTTAATAAGAACATTCAAATCGACACGAGAAATAAAAAAACATGAAAAAATTACTTCAAAATTATAAGAAGAACAACAATCAAAAGCATCAATAAACAACAGTTTCTCAACAACCACAAGAATAAAATAAAAAAAAAATCATATTTAAAACAGGGCCTACTTTGGAATCAACGGCGACATCAAACAAAAAACAAAAATTGGAAATAATTTGGAAAATTATTAGCCAGTACCTGTGACGAGCCAGGATTTTGAAAATTCCTGTTTTCTTTTAAAATTTCTTAGGAAACACGACGAACTAAGATTTAAAAATCAGACTAAAACTAAAGCCTACGCAATATGTAACAAGGGCTACGATTATGCAATAAAAACTCAATTAGCTTAGAAGCTATAAACCTTAAGGTCCGACAAGCAAGATTTTCGAGAAAAAAAAATAGTTATTTTTTCACCAAAAAACTATTTCTCAGCATCCACAATGAACTACGATTCGAACAACTTAGTAAAGTAAAAGCGTACGCACGATCTAACTCTGTCAACAAGCGGATATCAAAATAAATTTTTTATTTGCTTACAAGCTATTAGCCAAAAGGCCCGACAAGCCAAAATTCCGAAAATATCTGTTTTTTCATTTAAAAAATATTTCCTAACAGCCAAGATAAAATAGGTTACAAATAGCATGACAAAGTTAACGCAAGTTCTAACAAGGTCTACAATTGCTTATTATTATAGAGGCTATAAGCCAAAGGGTCCGAAAAACCAGATTTTCAAAAGATCCAGTTTTTTTCACTAAAAAAACTATTTCTCAATACCCATACCGAACTAGGATATGAACAGCATAGCAAAAATAAGTCCTTTGCGCAATCTAACCATGCAACAAAAGGACATTAAAAAACCTTATTTGCTAAGAAGCTAATAGCCAAATGGGTTCGGCAACCAAAATCTCTAAAATTCCTGTTTTTTCACTTGAAAAGTCATTTCTTGTTATCTAAGACGAAAAAAGATACAAACAGCATTCTAAAATTAAGTTCTACGTACGGTCTAACGAGGACAAGAAATGGATATCAAAACTTTTTGTTTGCTCACATGTTATTAGCTAAAGGGTCCGACAAGCCAACATTTTGAAAACTCCTTTTAAGACACCTTTTTCACTAATGTTTCTTAACAACCAGAACGAACTGGACCATGAACAGCCTACCAGAAACGAAGCCTAACAATTTTTCAACGAGTGCGACATTATGCCTTTCAAAATATACAGTTTTTAGAAGTTATTTGAAATGGAAATTAAAAAAAAAGTGGTTTTTCAGGCACGCCAGTCACCCCACCTCCCCTGTTTTTGCAGCAAATAAGAAAAACACTGTTTTTGCAGCAAATAAGAAGAATCAGTTAATAATTTGATATGTAATAGCTTTGTAACAAATTCATTTAGGTTAGGAAACAGATTCTTAACAAAAAAAAATGAATTGCAAATATTCTCGTCGAAAAACTACTCAACATTTTAAGAGAAAAGAAAAAATATACCCTTTTTTTCTGATTCTAATGTCAAACAAATCTTCACAAAAATTTGGATTCGTGTGCAGACTAGCAAAACTGAACATCTGCAACTTGAAAAAAAACTTTTCTTTTGAAAGAACAAGCTAATGAATTTGAGAGAAAACGGTGACTTCCAGACCTTCAAAAATGAAACAATTTCAGGACTGATAGCTTTTTCGGCGATGCAACATACCACACAACGAAATTAGCAGCAATTTTTCCAAAACAAAATTAAAAGAAATGTAATGCAGAAGAACACTTTCTTTTAAAAATCAAGACCTTAATTTGAACTTAAAATTTTGATTGGAAAGAACACTTATTTCGCCTAACAAGGTATACAAACAATGACAAGCAAAAAAACCTCTGTTAACAATCAGAAGTACCAGTCGAAACGTCCGGCAACCCTGTAGTTTGAAGTTATCTGTAGTTTTTTACAAAAGATTCCTTATTTTCCAACTTTTAAAACAAACTAAGATATGAAATCAGAGTGAAGTAGAGACCACGCACAATTTAACCAGGGCAGAATATGAACTTCAAAATATGTAGTTCCCTTTGAATATACACGAAATTGAATTGAAAAAGTTTACTGATTCTTAGGGCAATTCGAGCAATCGAAAGGTAAGTTTTTGCCGAGCTTAGAAAAATTACCGCATCATGAATCAAAAAATTCAAAAGATTGTTAAAAAATTCGTTTCGGCAGAAAAAAAATCTCAAAAATACTTGAAAAAACTGTTCTTTTTAAAGAACACGCAGGTGAAATTATTAGAGAACTGTAAATGTCAGCCCCTAAGTAAAGAAAAAGACACAAAAGAGAATTTTTTTGTACCTCTTAAGGCGATGCAACTTACAACACAACGAAAATAAAACAGCTATTCTTTCAAACAAGAGTTTAGCTACTAAGAACACTTTCTTTTGAAAATCAGGACCCCAATTAGAACTAAGGTTTATATTTAAAAATTCACTAGTTATCTAGCAGCGAAATAAATAACAATAATCAAAAACTCTGAGAAATAAAGGAAGTATAAGTCAAATTTTCAGCAACCCAGAAATTTGAAAATTACTGCAAAAATTTATTGGAAAAAACCTCTGATTATTACATCGGAGACATGTTTCAGAAGCATGCATACAAACCCTGCTAGGGTTACCGATCTTCTAAAGATACACTCAAAATTTTTTTTTTTGATTTTTAAAGTTTTATGCAAAGCCTGTCGGAGTAAAAGGATTGTGTGAAGAGGTTTTTTATGACAACCAACAATTACTCGAATAAGAAAACGATTAGTAATCATTTGAAATAAGCTAACCAAATCTTCTAGTAATTTCTGAAAGTTTTATTCTTCTTTGGAACAACGCTTATCATTCAGTTTTCAATTATGAAAATTATAAGATAAGCAACTTTCAAACAAAACTAAAATCATAACTTTGACAGTCAAAATGCTTCCAATCTACAGAAAATCTAAATAAATTCAAGTAAATTTATCTTTAAATCTTTCGGAACATAATTTTTCTCTGGAAAATGCTTGTCATACAATTTTCATGAAAGAAGT